AGAGACGGGCGGGTCCCCCTTGGTGGGCAGGCACATAGCAGGGGTCCCCACGGCCCCCGGGAAGTATGCCTGTTTGTGGGGGATGCCTCCCACTATAGGCGAGACTGAGAGAGCAGCCAGCAGAAGGGATGGGGCCAGCTCCGAGCAGGGCCAGGGGGCCAGGGGGCCAGGGGGCCAGGGGGCCAGAGGACTGGACAGGACGCTGCTGCTGGCAGACGATGTCCCCATCTGGGCCCCGCACGCAGGCCGCCCAGCAGAGGCCCGGCTAAACACTGCCCAGGGGACGGTGGGGGCAGCGAGGGGACTCGGGGGCTCAAGGTCCAGCGGTCCTGCTTTACGACCCCTGGGGTGGCTCAAAGCAGTGCCCTCGGAGGACACCCGAGACCCTCCGTGTGCAAACAGGTGCTCTGTGAGATGCCGGGTGGGAACACGGGAGCCCCAGCAAGCCGACACCCACGACCCTCCCTGCAGCCGCACGAGGGGAGCCGGCCGCCCCACGCCTCGTCCTCACCGCTGCGTCCATGTCCTTCTGGCTATACTGTGGCACCTCCACGATGGAGCCCACGATGGGGCCCGTGGGCAGCAGGGGACCCCCAGGCCCGAAGATGCACGGAGGGGCGTCCAGCACCTGCGGGGGTGGGGAGAGGGGACACAGCAGCTGGGCCACATGCTCTGACACGCACCTCCAGCTCTACCCTGCCATCGGGGGAGAGGCCCGCAGAGGCCGGGGGCCTCTGGTGCCGCATGGCGACCAAGGGCCCTCACCGCCCCCTCCCCACCCGCCCAGCATGAAGTCAGGCCCTCGACAAGATGCACTTGTGCGTCACTTACGGCAGCGCCCGGGGCTCCTAGGAAGTCCAGGTCCAGCAGCTTCGCCTCGGGCAGGCTTCCCGAGGACGGCGCAGCCACGTCCTGTGTGCTGAGACCCCACAAGGGAAGGTAATCGCACCCGTTTCCCCCCGAGCCCAGAGAAGAACCGTCCTCGGGTTCGTGGGTCGCACGAACCCTGTTGCAAGTGCTCGGGCTCGGCCTCTTGACGGGCACGGGGACACGGGGACGCGGGCACCGCACAGACACGGGATGGAGAGGGCGCCCGAGCGCCCACAGAGCCTCATGAGCAAGGCCCCCCCCGCCGTCCCGCCCGCACCTGGCGGCTCCCGAGGCCGAGCCACAGTGTCCCCACTCGGTCCGGAAACCTCCCCTGCTGCTCGGAGCCCACGGCCACGGTGGGGGGCGGGGGCTACCTGCTGGCGTCCGGGGCCGCGGGCACTGGTCTCTGAGGGCTGTCCTTCAGGAGCGGGTCAAACTTGAGGTACAGGGACTGTTTCCTCAGGGCTGACTCCTTAAACTGAAGGGACGGGCACGTCAGCGGGGTCGCAGAGGTCCCTGACAGGGGGACCGCAGCACACCAGGAGCCGCCACCTCCCGGGCGGAGTTCACGTCCACACCGGGGCCCGAGATGGGGCCCCGAGGGGCCACCGGAGACCCGCGCGGCCGTCACAACACCGGTCCCGCATCCCAGGAAGGTGCGGAGGCCGCCGGTGCTCGAGCGCCAGGACCCGCGTGACCTCGGGGGTGCGACAGTGGCACAGGGCCGCTCTGGGAGAGCCGCGCTCGGGGAGAGGCTGCCGGGGCGGCGCCGGGGACTCACCGAGGAACTCCCGAACTGCTCCAGATAGTCCACGTCGGCCCCCGTGCCTAGAACTGAGAGGCGGCGCGTCGGCGTCGGCGGGGCGGGCCGGCCCGGGCCGTGACCCTCCCCCACCACCCCTGCGGCCGGGAGCGACCACCCTTCACGTTGAAGCGGGGTTCCTGGCCTCTAACGGCGCTTGGGGCCACGTCACGCCGTGGGGCTGTCCTGTGTGCCGCAGGGAGCAGAGTGGCAGCTCTCCAGGAGGGACAACCCGGGGTTCCCAAGGGACCGGACCGCCCAAGTCGGGAACTGCTCTCTAGAACCACTGTCCAGACTCCTGGAGTTCCTGAGGACATCCCCCCGTCCTTAAAAAGCCTAAGGGCGCCTCACACCACACGGATTAACCCACATGAATCGAAAACCCAAACAGAACAACGCGAAAGCCTTAGGAAGCCGGTGGGCAAATCCTCACAGTGTTGGATTTGACCATGGTTTCCCAGACCTCAGGCCAAAAGCACCAATAGCAAAAGAAAAAACAGGTCGATCAGACTTCCAGGTCAACGTTTGTGCTTCAAAGGACCGAGAAAGAAAAGACAACCCCCGGAAAGAACATTTTCCAAGCCCTAGATCTCACAGGAAACGCTTAGCAGGGACAGGTTTGAAACCCTGACTGGGTAACAAAGAGGAACACTCCAGGAAGACAACAGAGTACCCAGCAGGCCTTCCACAAAACCTGTGAGGGGACGTGAAGAGATGCTGGTCCCCAGGGAGGCGCCGAGGTGGTGCCTCACCGCCCCCAGGACGGTGGGCATCGAAATCCGAGACGCGCAGGTGCTGACGAGGACCCCCAAACACCGCGGCTGTACGATCGCCAAATGGTGCCGCCCCTCTGGAAAGCCACTCGGCGGTGGCCCCTGCACTTTCACACACTGCGACCCCGGACCCGGACCCCTTCCAGGTTTACGCCCAAGAGAGGCGGAAAGCTGACGTCCACACGAATCCGTGTACACGGATGTTCGCGGCAGCCTTCTACCGGCCGTCCAGAGCAAACGGCCCACGCGGCCACCGGCCGTTGAGTGCTTTGCAAGCGTGGTCCATCCACACAGTGGAACGATCTCGGCTGTGACAAGGGCGCGCTGACACCCACTACAACGTGGATGAACCTTGAGAACGTCACGTTCGGTGAAAGGAACCAGACACAAGACCCCGCGTCACGGGACTCCAGGGTCCCTGTGGGGACGCGGGCCTGCCCTAGCCGAGCCTGTCCGCGGTTTTGGGACCCCGTACGGTGAGGACCCTCGATCATCCTGCCACAGACGAGCCCTACGTGCCACTGCCAGTCTTCCCTCTGCCCGGAGGTTAAGCAACCGAAATGGAGACCCCAGCAGGTTGTGTCAACGTCTACTAGGGCAACTCGATCCCACCCGTGTTGAAGCTTCAGAGCTTCCGGTACATCAGCCTGGGTGCTCTGTCCTAACAGCAACTCTGCAACCCTGTGAATCTGCACAGAACCTCCTGCGTGACTCCCGTCTACTCCCTTGAGCCTCCGACCTCCGTTCCTAGAAGTCCTTTGGGTTTGCGGCTGTGCCCCGAGAACGACCACCTTCTGCTCAACCCGAAGCCCCTGCGTGGATCACTTAAAGCCCAGAAAGAGAGCTGCCGGGAAGCCGCCGCCAGGTACAGGCACGGACGGAACGGCAGGCCGCCAGCAGGGACAGACCAGTGACCAGGGACAACGTACGTACCCTCAGCGGGGTCTCGGAAGTGCTCCTCATCCAGGTCCGAGGGGGGCTCCGGCCCGTGCGGAGGAGGGGGCGGCGCTGACGCACTGGCACGGCCCGCGGCTCCCTCCTGGAAGGAGGATGGCTCCGTGGGGGCACCCTGGGGCAGCCGAAGGTCCTGCACGGGACCCCTGCATCACCCAGTCTTGTCTGGGCACTGTGTCCCACCCGGCCCCCGTATGAACGTGATGACAGCACACACGTGCACGCGGCCCTACCTCGCCCCCTGCGCCTGGGGTCCCTGCCGTGGTCTGCGTCACGGGTATGTCATCTGCTGAGGCCGAAGGCACCTGCCTGAAGAGATGGGGTCAGCCGGGCTTGCACCCCTGTCCCCCCACCAGCCAGGTGCAGGGGTGAGGCCTGCAGCCCGGCCCACCTCAACTGCACAAGAACCACAAACCTCAAAGGACACCCGGGCCAGGAGCTCCAGGGCTGTTTCAACTCAAAAAGCAAACCCCAAGCCTTCATTTTTCACTAGGAAACTGGCAAAACACACTGGAGGGAGGGGAAGTGGGTGCTGGGGCCGGGAGGCCCTCCCGGTGTGGTTCCAATACCGGGCAGGTAGGGTGCACGTGCCAGAGGGGCAGTCCCCGGATGCCCACCAAGGCCGTGTGTACAAGTGTGGGGGCCGGGCACCAGCTAAGCTTCTCTCGGGGACCCAGCACTTGGTGGCCACTCAGCAGCAGTCCCCAGAGAGTGCGAGAGAGCATGAAACACCACCCCAAGTGTGGATGGCCACTCCACCGGCTTTGGAAGTAGACAGAACTTGCTAGAAATCTTTCTAGGTTTCCAGTTTCATTACAGATAATGCTCTTAAGAAAGCACAAAGACTTGGGGGGAAAAAAAGTGCCTGGTTGGCTTTGTCAGTCGAACATCTGACTCTTGACTTCCATTGGGCTCTGCCCTGAGTGTGATGCCTACTTAAGAGTTTCTCTCTGCCCCTCTCCTCCTCTGCCTGTGCACACGCTCTAAAATTAAAAAAAAAAAAAAAAAAAAAAAAAATTGAAAAAACAAAAAAGTAGCACAAGAGTTGCCCACACCCCTGTGGAGTGGACGGAACGGGGCACCGCTGTGCACTCCCCTCTGTGATCTTTCACCAGCGGTCTAAGGTGGCCGTGAGCCCCCTCCTCAGTCTCAGGACCCACGACCGGCAGCTGCCTTGTGCAGCCTATGTATGCTCCGAGGCCCCTCCTCGGGGGCACGTGTAAGTGGCATCTCTGGCCTGGGGTCCTCTGGTGTGCTGAGTGACCAGCCACCCCACCGCCACCACCACCAAGTACTCACTGGCTCAGGGGGCAGTGCCCTGTGGCCTCCAGGCCGGCCTGCGGCTGCTTGGTCACAGTCCCTGCGGGCCTGCTCTGGGGGCACTCTGGGGGTAGGGTCTCTCCTCCACTTTCAAATGGGTTAAAGGTCGGGTCATCCAGCTTGCTCCAATCCAGGTCGTAAGACCCCCGGGGGAGGGGAACGGGCCCCTCACCTGCCTCCTCGGGTGCCTTTTCCTGCCTCGGCTCTGGTATCCTAGAGGGAGGTTTAAGGCTGGGTCCCTTCCCCGCTTTCCCTCTGCTGACGGCATTGGGAGACAAATCAAATTCTAGCCCTGTGGGCCCGCGCCTCCAAGAGGCAGCCTGCTGGCCGTCGGCTTCTTCCTTCTGAGGACTTGGGGATGTGGCCCCTCCAGCGTTCAGGGGGCCGTCCAGGATGGTGTTCCCAGGACCAGAAGTGTCTTCAGGGCCAGCGGGGGCCTCGCCAGGCAGGTCTTCGAGGGGCCCTTCTCCACCTGCTCCTTTGAGGAGAGTAGCTGGGGGCAAAGTAGCCCCGGCTGAGGAAGCAGGGACCTGGCTGGAACTTTCTCTGGCAGCCCCACGAGGACCTTCCCTTCTGTCCTGGAGAGCCATCTGGGAAGGGTCTTCTAGGATTTCTGAGGTGGATATAATACTTTTCTCGAAGAAACAAGAACAAGAATTTTCCTCCAAGGCTTGCTCAGGGCTCCTAGACGTTTGTCCTAGAGATGCCACTTGATTTTCAAGACTTTCTGGCATCTGGGGAGAGCTTGAGGGACCCAGGCTGGCCAGGGGAGCAGAGGTGGGTCCACTGGAATACGGCCTATCTTCAGAGGCTGGTCTCACGTCCCCTGGAGGCAGGCTGGCATTGCCCATCAATGGTTTCTGGACAATTCCATTGGTCGTTTTGGTGTCAACTTCCTTGGTGAACTGTTGGCTTTTTAGAAACGAACTTAGTTAACGCTAAGGAACCTGTGAGCTTTGTCACTAGATTTTAGTAAGAAAACATGAGCTAAAGACAAGAAAAGAATGTTTAGTCGATCTTCTTCCTGGGATTAACTTTCTCAAGCGTTTCCTCATAAGTCAACACTGCCGGGCCAACTAGGTCACATGGGTTTCTGAGAGACGTAGACAAACGAATAGTCACGGTTAAGGTTTTCTGTGCTAGCCTATCTTCCCTGTTCAGCCGGGACCACTAGCTACATAGTCAGGGACAGGGCACAGGTGGATCAAGGTTTTTCACTGCAGAGAAAGGCAAGGTCGAGAACTCTGCCCGCAGACACAGCAGGGTTTGACAGCGAGAGTGTCCAAGCGGGCGTGCAGAGAGGTGACCAGGGGGGTGTGAAACCAGGAAGAAGCCAGAGTGTCCTTCCTTAAAGATGCGATCAGACCTTTCATGAAAGAAAAGCCCAGGCCAATTTGCTGGCGAAGGCATAGGAAGGAAGCAGACACGAAACTTAACCTTATCCTAAGCGTTTCATTGTCTGCTTTTCTACTAACAAATGACTCCCGACGCGAGCGCGCTGGGCACCGCACTGCACACGCTTACAGAGGAAACCAGGAGGAACTCGACCAGACAGAATTTTCCTGCCGCGTCTGCTGGAGTGGATGCGAACGGCAGCACGCCAAGCAGCACCGACACTTACTTCTGTTTCTGGGCCCAGTTTTGGTGAGAATTTTCCAGCCCAACAGTGTCCTCCAGAGCAAAAGGAGCCTCGGGCTTGCTGCTCATGCCAGGACTCAAGATGCGGTGCGTCTGTGGGTCTCGCAGAGGAGTCTGAAAAGTCACCTGTTGGGGAAGGAGGAGACCCGTTCAACAGCTGGCGTCTTCACCACTCTGCCGGCAGTGCCCCCCCTGCCCACCCTGACGTGCCCAGGAGAACGAGTCCCAGGGCGGCCTGACATGTGACACGCGGTAGATGTGACGCAGGCAAAACGTGCTTACTTTCGTAGCTTTGACTACGCTCTTGGGTGGCACATTTTCTTTCTGGGACAGACGAAGCACAGATAATCTTCCGGTAGGTTCTGGTGGCGAAAACAGGAACTCACAGTTTTCTGCACTTTTGTCACCAGTGACGTTTTCATCGTTGCAGATCTGCAGACTCATCCTGGAAAAGCAAACAGTGCGTGTCAGCGTGAGGGCTGTGTAGTCCGGATGAAAAGACACGACAACGAGCTAGCCCTGCAGGGCAGATGTCCCCTTCCTGCGCAGGTGGGTCACATCCCAGGCAGCACATCTTCTGCCAGGCAGTCTTTGTACTGCGTCAGGGGACCTGCCGCCTCCCAAGAAAAGAGCTAGAAGGACCTTCGGCCTGCAGCGCAAAGAGGAAGAGTCGGGTTTTCAAAACAACTTGGGCTTTGTGGGTAAAAGTCAGAAGACGGGTGTGCTGGCCTCTCAGAAACCTGGGTCTCCCCTCAGGCCTCTGCTGAAGGCACCGAGGCCGCAGCACAGCTGGAGAAGGCTGCCAAGCTAGCAGAAAACAGGAAAGCAGAGGGGTGCTGTGACTTCTCTTCCACCACAGGCTGGGAATTGGGGATACACCAGGGCCAAGGCCCAGAGGAAGAGCGGGACGAGGCAGCGACCAGCAAGGTGAAGAATTACTTGGTAGGGGTTGAGGAGCTTCTACATGGAGACTTGGGAGTCTAGAGACGTGCACCAGGGACCTCCACTGAGGCCCAGGGGGCTCTAGAACAGTCCCACTCCGCCCTCCCAGGGTCCTCATGATGGTTACCAGCATCACACTCCCAACCCAGGAGTCACAGGAGGACCTAGCCAAGGGAACATCACAGGTGTTTTGCTGGAGGCTGCAGCTTGAAGAGCAAGGCCAGGGTGGCTGGAACAGAGGGAGCAGAGGTGGCCTGGAAAGAGGCGAGGTCAGGGTAACGAGATGTCCCGGAAGATGTGGGGATGGGGCCGTGTGTGTGGAGGTTGGGGAAGGGGCAGGAGGGAAGCGTGGGGTCAGAAGCTCCTGCAGACGGTCAGGGGTGGAATGATAGGCTCTGGCTTGGCCAGCAGGCCCACGAGGCACTTGGGAGTGGGAGAGAAACAGGAGGCAAGGACGACTCAGGTTTTTGGGGAACAACTGGGGAAAGCAAGAAGGGGGCAGGATGGCGGTGGGGTGAATGAGGGAAGGGTCTAGAGGACACCTTTCTGGCATTCTCTCCCCTGAGGAAGGTGGCGAGACCTTGGCGGGGTCTGTCGGGTTTGGCTTCCGCTGACGATGGCGGCCGGGAGCAGAGGCCGCCAGCCCAGACGGCCTGGTGAGCCGAAGTGCGGGGCAGGAAACGGGGGGGCGGAGCTGCGTGGAGCAGGTGGGGAGAATCGGCAATACCGGGAGGGCTGGAGCCTAGGTTTCTGCGGCAGGTGCAGCTGGAGTCAGCCATGGCTCCCAGGTGGGGTGTGGAGAAAGCAGCACGAAGCTGCCCCGCAGAGCCGGGAAGCGCTGGAGATTAGGAGCCCAGTCTCGGACACCACGCAGCGAGCCGGTGGTGTTAAGGGTGGGAGGTGCACATTTGCAAGGCACGCCTACCGGTGGTATTTGAGGCTGGACGAGGTCAGGGGGTGATGGGAGGGGAGGCCAGCGGACCAGGCCGCGAAGGACCCTGACACGTGGACCTCCCAGAGGGCGACGAAGGAGCAGGGAGGCACCAGTAGGCAGGAGCCCACCAGGCGTCGGGAAGCGGGGAAGAAGTCAGCCAGCTCCACTCCCGGGCTGTGACCGG